ACACCGGCGAGCGGCCTTACGCGTGCGGTGAGTGTGGCCGCCGCTTTGGGCAGAGCGCGGCGCTGACGCGGCACCAGTGGGCGCACGCCGAAGAGAAGCCGCACCGCTGCCCCGACTGCGGCAAGGGCTTCGGCCACAGCTCGGACTTCAAGAGGCACCGGCGCACGCACACGGGCGAGAAGCCTTTCCGCTGCGCCGACTGCGGCCGTGGCTTCGCGCAGCGGTCCAACCTGGCCAAGCATCGGCGCGGCCACACGGGCGAACGGCCCTTCCCGTGCCCCGAGTGCGGCAAGCGTTTTTCGCAGCGCTCGGTGCTCGTGACGCACCAGCGCACGCACACCGGCGAGCGGCCCTACGCGTGCGTGCATTGCGGCCGCCGCTTCTCGCAGAGCTCGCACCTGCTTACGCACATGAAGACGCACCGCGGCGCGGCTGGCGCGCCTGGGCAGGCAGGGCCAGCGACCCCCGCGCCGAAGGCCGACTCGCCCGCCAGGGGGCAGCAGAGTGCAGGTTCCGTGCCCGGGGAGCTCGGGAGCGCCCTGCTGGAGTTCGCGGGCGGGACGAGCTTCGGCTCCGAGGCCGCGTTTGCAGGGCCTTCGGCTGCCTATGAGGAGAGCTAGGCCACCGGCCCCGTGCCTTGCTCCTTCGGTCGCCGGGCGTTGAGGATCCCCGTCCTGGGCGCAGTGCCTTCCCCGATGCACTGCCCCTACCCCTCCCCAGGCCTCGGGAACCCCTCCTGCAGGGCCCCAGCCCTCTGCGTTGTAGAAAGCGCTTGGGAGAGCGGCACATCGCGCGGGAGCAGCCAGGGCAGGGCTGACCCACCTAGACTGTGACATCCCCGGGTCCAGCCTGCGAAGCAGTTGGAATGATGGATGAGGCTATTTATTTTATTCAGATTTCAATTTGGGTGGTCCAGATAACAAGCGACTTATGCAGCAGGGTTCGACAGCGAGGGGAGGGTGAGGTGGTCGAGAGTCGAGCAACCGGCTGCTCGGGTGGGTCGGCGCTGATGTCTGGGTCACCTGTGGGTCTGGCCCATGAGTTCTTCCCCGTCCGTCAGTGAGAGATTCAGGGATACGCGGGGCATTGGAGTGTGTCGGGGAAGTTGTGAGAACTGCTCTTTGCAATGGGGAGGTGTACAGGTTTCCAAAGGCGCGGGGTTCCTTCCTATCCCAGGAGATGGAGATGGGAACGGGAAAGCTTTTATTCTGACTGTCGACTGTGGATATTTATTTCCATCTCTTGTAAGGCCTGACGAATGTGGGGAGAGGAGGAGGAGAAAAAGCCAGAAACCAAATCTGTGGCCTGGGTGAATGGGCTGCAGGTATTAGCAGGGTCCCCAGGGAGTTTGAACCCTTATTCTCTGGCCTCACATTCTCGCTGCGCCCCCCTCTCTCAGCACTAAGATGGGGCAGGTCTAGTTAGCAGGGTCGCTCTTTGCCCCCAGCTTCCTCTTTAAGTCCTTTGCCTCCCCATCTCTGGCAGCTGGTGGTGGCAAGTAATCCGGGGGTGCCCTATGCACACTCCTACAGGCCTGGTCCCCTGGGCGGCCACCTCTCCGGGAGCGAGTGGTCACATGGAGCCCTGCCCTCCGGAGTCCACTGCTCAGGTAGCATAAAGCACTGAGGTTGGTCTGCAGAATTTCCCCCACATCCCATGATGAGGGCTCGAGAACCTCCACAGGTCCCTTTAACTCTGCTTCTGCCATTATTCTACACATTGTTAAACAGCAAGTAGTGTTTCTGTCTAGATTCCCAGTCACATGGGTCAGTGTTGGCACTGAGGACCTGGCAGTTCCAACGATGGCTGGAGAGGCGGGGATCTGAGCTCGTAACACCCAACTATGTGAGATCCCTGTGGGGGGACATCCCACCTCCAGACAGGGCTATTGGGAGCCACTAGCCAGCAGCTATGGCAGTGGTGGCGAACCTATGGCAGACTTGCTACAGCAGGCTGTTTGTATCATTGAAAGCTCTAAAAGGTTTACCATCACTGAGCTAGGGCATGGCTCAGGTGAAGCCTCCCTTCTTGCTTTTGGGGCAGGGCTGGAGTACTGAGATTTTGAAGCACCTGCATTTCCTCTTAGACCTAGTTTTTCCATGTTAGTGTAGACATGGCCTTGGGGGCTGAGGGCCAGCAGCCAGGCTGCTAGGGGCTGGGCGGGGTAGGAGGCGAGGTAGTGGTGGGTGGGAGGACTAGCCATGCGGTGAGAACTGGCCTGGCCATGTGAGGCTGCAGGCTGGGCTGGTGAGGAAGATGGGGGACCCAGGGAGGCATCAGGAGCACTGGGCCATGGCCTCTCTGTCTCAGGTGTCTCCCCTTCTCATGTTTTCTGGGTCACAAGCCTCCAAAAGGGCGAAAGGCTGGGGCAGCTGGGTGGCTTGGGGTATCTCAGGCATTGCCCTACATGGTCCATCCCTGGCAGCATTCATTCCTGACCCTCCTGGGCCCCAGCTGCTTCTGCCCTGTCCTGGATCCGTCAGCAGGAGGACCTAGCTTTAATAAAGAGTGGAAAAAAATGAATTTCCTGGCTGGACTCTGCTCTTTACTCTCCTTGGTAATCAGCAGGTGGAAAGAGGCGCCGCCCACCATAGCTGGACACCTTGGGAGGTGGCTTGGGGTTTGGGGACTACAGCCTGCTGGGTGTATCACCTGGGCAGGTAGCACGGTGGAGTGTTTGGGAGCGCTGTGATCACATCGCCTGGTCATCATGGAGGCTCCCAGGGATGATGGACAAGAGAGAGGATGAAACCCAAACACTAGCATAAAACGGCATGTGCTATGATGTCTGGAATTTGTCTCAAAACAACAGAAGCCCAGGGAGTGTTAAGCAGGATGTAGATAAAGTAGATTTGGGTACAAGTTGCCTTTTTTTTTTTCCTGTACCAGGGATTGAAACCAGGACCTTCACACTGAGCTATATGCACAGCCCTGTTTCTTTTTCATTTTTTTATATTGAGATAGGGTCTCCCTAAGTTGCTGAGTCACTCAGGCTAGGCTTGAACTCCTGTCTTAGCCTTCTAGAATGCTGGGATCCAGCTAAACTGTCATTTTTTTTTTTTTAACTGTATTTCTTAAAGATAGGTGACAGATACAAAGGACTCCATATCCTATTCTTTCCAACTTAGTATATGTTTGAAGGTTTTCATAATGTCAACATAAAAAGAAAATTTCCCTAACACATTGCTCCATCCTGCTCACCCCTGATGGACCCTTTCATTCTGTAGTCCTTTGTCCAGGAACGCTGGGGAGTGCATTTATTAAAGGAAATGGAAAAGGAAACTACTACCTGCAGTTTCCTTTTTGTTTCCTCCTGGAATTCCCACGAGCTAAGTGTGGAGATTCTTGTACTGATCTTCTGTGTCATGACTTCTGCCTTTTTTCCCCTCTGGGGGACCCAAGTAGAAAGAGGCACCGCCCACCGTAACTGGACACTAAGGTTTCCAGGGAGCTACACAGCTTGGAAGGTGGCTTGGGGTTTAGGGGCTGCAGTCTGCACTACCTGCTCACCCAGTTAAAGTGAGATTAAACCCTAGGGTGGTGTGCTACGCCAAAAGTCATGCTTATTGGCAGGCAAAGCCAATTCCTAACTGATACCTCCAACCACCCCAAGGGAGGCCAGGAGCCCCAGAGGTCCTGAGGCATAACTTGGGCAAATCACCAGGCTAACAGAAGTTTTCCAATATGGATTATAGTCACCTGTTCTGGAATCCCCACATTGTCATGGTGGGCTGCTGAAGATACATATGGAGGAAGCAGTGATACAGTGACTGGGGTTTGTTCTCCTAGGCCGGCAGTCATTCTCCTGAATTAGGGTGGAGTTTTGGATGCAAAAGGAAAACCTAATCTGGACCAAATTAGAAAAGCAATTCCAGAGGAAGAGTTGGAGCAGTGCACGCCATCAATACAGTCTTCCAGGTGGGGCCAAATCCAAGGTGGGCCGGGCAGTGGGAACATGCTCACAGTCCTGCCCAAGGAACTGCTCAGTTGGGAGAACCACCTGGCTGTGCCCAGCTGGTGTCCAATAATGTGCTTGCTGCTGGAAGCAAGCTGCCGCTGTCAGAACCCTTTCTTTGCTGACACTCTGTTCTAGCATCTTTTCCTTGGGATTCGAAGGCCCAGGCAGAAGCATTTGACTGGCTCAGCCTGGGACGTGGGCACATTTCCCAGCTGCCAACAAGTGGTCAGTTCCTGGCTCTTTTGACATCTATAGTGGGATGAGCACAGTGCCTTTCACCAGCAGTCACAACAAAGGGACCCAGGAGAGACAAACGCCATAACATCCACTCTACTGTGATAGCAGCTGATGTCTCGGGTGGGTTTGCTGTGGAGTCCTTCCCATAGCATGAGCTATGGCTCTTTTCCATTCACACTAGGCTGGATTAGGAGAAGAGCACGCAGAGACAGGCTGGTCTCAGTGGGTGTCTTATCACTTTTATTGTCACAAGGACAAAATACTGAAAACCCAAAAGTTAAATTAGAGGTTTTGGTCCACAGTCACCTGGTTCCAAGGCAGTGGGACAAGGCAGAGGGGCATGGCAGAGGAGAAGCAGCTCATGGCACAGCAGTGTTACAGCAATTTTAAGTTTACCAGAGGTGAAGAAACCAAGTGGCACTTGGAAAAGTGGAGGGAACCAAGCTTTATTACACTGCCAGGCTGGATACTGGACAGTCTGCAAGAAATCCAGTGTCTCCTGCCTGAGCTGCCAGTACAGGGTTTAAAGGCCCAGGGACATCTCTTTTCTTCCTTCCTCCTTGTACACGGTGCTTCTGGCTGGCTGAGCCTGACTAGAAGCCAGGGTCCTAGGAATGGGGAAACTGGGAGATATAGGATGTAGTGTCCCAGCCTCAGCAGCGCAAGAGGAAACACTGGAGACAAGGAAGAAGAAACTTGCATACCTGCTTTCAACGGGTAACTCCACACAGCCAGACATGGTGCACATGGCAGTAATCCCAGTACTCTGGAGGCTGAGGCAGGGGGACTGAAATTTTGAGCTCAGCCTGGACAACTTAGTGACTTAGAGAGACTGTATCTCAAAATAAAAAATAAAAAAGGCTCGGGATGTAGCACAGTGCAAAGGCTAGAGGTTGAAAGTCCAGTAGTAAAAAAGGAAAAAAAATCCGCAAGTATCCATGGTTATCCCCACAGGAGAGCGGGGTCACTGACACCAGGATTTGTGTAAGTGGTTGCCTGGTCCCCAGGGTCGAGCTGTATCAGCCAGGTGCGAACCACAGGCGAAGCTATCTGCTGATGACCAGCAAATGCTGTGATGTCTACACAGCAGGGGGCAACTGAATGGTTCTTGGGCTGTCCTTCCCAGGGATCATCTCAGCATCTGCGACTTGCTGTGTCTCTTCTGGGAGTGTTGCCAGCCACTGAGGTACTGTCTAGGAGCCGAACTGCTGAGTCATGTAGTACTTCTGTTTAACTTATTGAGGACCTGCCTGCCAACCTAAGTTAAAAAATCAGTGCTCTAGCTTGCATCTCTTTTCTCTTTCTTTCTTTCCTTTTTTTTTGGTGTATGTATATGTGTGTGGCAACGGGGATTGAACCAAGGGCCTTTGAACTGAGCTACATCCCAAGCTCTTTTTCTCTTTTATTTTGAGACAAGGTCTTGATAAGATGCTAAACTGTCCAACTTGGGGCCAAACTTGTGATCCTCCTGCCTCAGCCTCTCAGAACAAATGCTGGGGTTACAAGAGTATGCCACCATGCCTGGCTATATGATTTTATATTTAAATCAGGACCCAGTAAAATTCCACACATTATCTTTAATCCATACCTTTTAATTCTCTATTATAGTACTGTAACAGAAAATACACCATCCTGCCAGTATACTTCAGTTTCTTAGTTGCCCAGGTAATAATAGTTCCTGTTCCAGCTCTGGTTGCTTCTGTCTCTTAGAAACGGCTGGTCACTGTGATGTATAGCGGGTCACTGTGATGTATAGTGGGTCACTGTGATGCACATTGTATAAATCAATCCCCATCTGACAAGCCGTTCTGCTTCTGTACTTCCTGCTTGCTTATCTCATATAAGCCCTAGACCCCCAGAGATCAGGGCCTGATATTCTGGGAATGATCCTGATCAGTGCCTGTCGACATAAAATAAATCTGCCTCCAAATCCTGGGTGTTGTTTCTGTGTTTCTCCTTGCCATTGCAGTACCACCTCTTCTTTGCTTTTACATTTTTGTAGCACTTACTTGTTGAAATGTGGATCATTTGTCCTGTAGAATTATTTACATTGTTGAATTGGTTGAGTGCTTTGTTGTAATATATATCTATTTTATTATTATTATTATTATTATTATTATTATTATTATTTTGGTACCAGGAATTGAACTTAGGACCTCGCACTTGCCAGGCAGGCGCTTGTGCCACCGAGCTATATCCCCAGCCCTGTTGTGATATATATTTTTAAAAACCTTATATTTCTTTATTCTCCTTGTTTATAACAGGTGGGCAGGTTGACACCACCACCTGTACTTTCTGATCAGTCTTCACATCAGTGAAGTTAAAACAAAAGGGCTTGTGTCTCTAATTCTAAGCACACAGAGCTGGGCATGGTGGTGAGCCTGTTACCCCAGCACTCAGGAAGCTGAGGCAGGAGGATCGCCATGCGTTTGAGGCCAACCTGGTCCACACAGCCCTTACCTCCTCAGCAGAAGAGTCTCTGGGACATTTTGGTCTCCAAGAACACCCAGTATGAATGTTCACAGATGTTCTTCTTGGGTACCCTCCCCCCATGTGATGGCACATAGCCTCCATATGTCAGTGATCTTCTTTTCATCTCCAAGTGTTAGGAGGTTTCAGACTTCAGATTTCTACAACTTTGAGGACTAAATGTGCAAGTCCACCATGTGCAAGTCCAATCCTGTAAGACCTGAGCTGGGGCCTGCTTTCCTGGCCCATCCGGTTATCCCTTGTGGGTAGAAGCACTGAAATCTGTGTAGATGAAAGGCCCTGAACATGATCATGCACAGCTTGGACCACGCTGCCCCAAGCTGGCATCTCCTTTCCAAATATGAGCCGTTCCCCCCAGCCATCTCATGTGGTACTGGGAATTGAACCCAAGGCCTTTACTCTTGTCCTCTTTATTTTATTTTTTATTTTGAGACAGGGTCTTTCTAAGTCTCTAAATTGCCCAGGCTGGGCTTGAACTTGTGTTCCTCCTGCCTCAGCCTCCCAGAAAACTGAGATTACAGGCATGTGCCACCACATCCTGCCCATTTTCAGAGCAGAACTGCTATGTATGTTGTGCTGCCTTAAATCTTGACATATAGTTCATGAATAAGTTCACTGTGAAAAATGTAAATGTTTGCAGATAAATCTAAAGTCTTATGAAGACAACATAGGTCACCTCCTATGAAGAAACCCCTTACTAATTAACCATGCAGTTTTCCAGAATTTAGATCCACCCACAGTAGCTAGAGAGGAAATATGAGAACTATCACATTCTTATGGGATTGTGAATTATACAGACTTGAAATAATGCTAATAAAATGAAGAGTAAGTTCCTAAG